GGTGGCAGTCATAAACCTCTTAGCAGTTTTCGAGTAATTGGTTTTCAATTAATTTATAGTTAATACAATACATTGTTATTAACTATAGTCACCATTTATATAATAGATGTCCTGTACTTATTCCTCCTGACATTTTGTATCCTTTGATCAGCATCTCCTAACCCTCTCCACCAACTCCTGGTAACCCCTATTCTAATCTTTGCTTCTGTGAGTTAAACTTTTTTTACACTCCACATATGAGTGAGATCATGAACTATATGTCTTTCTGTGCCTGACTTATTTCACTTAATGTAACATCCTCCAGGTTCACCCTTGGTGTTGCAAAGGACAGGATTTTCTTCTTTGTTAAGGCAGAATAGAGAGAGAGAGACAGAGAGACAGAGAGAGAGAGAGAGAGAGAGAGAGAGAGAGAACACGTGCATGCATACTACATTTTATTTATCCATTTATTCATCTGTTGATGGACACTTGGGCTGATCGCATATCTTGGCTGTGTGAATATGCTACAATAAACATGGGGTGCAGACAGCTCACAGAGGAACTTTATAGTAACTAAACATTCTTTAAAAAGAAGAAAGATCTTAAATCAACGATATTAACTTGCACTTGAAAAAAAAAATAGAAGGAAAATAACCCCCAAAGGTGATAAAAGAAACAAAATGATAAAAATAACAGAAGAAATCAATTAAATATAAAACAAAGAAACGACAGGGAAAATCAATGAAACCAGAAGCTTATTCTCTGTGAAGATTAAAAACATTGATAGAGAAAAAATAGAAAAGAAATACTTTACCAATGTCAGGAAAGAGAGTTGAAATTATTATAGATTCTATAAATATTTAAATAATAATAAGGAAATGTGAAAACTATGGCAGAGCCCAATTTGGCAACTCAGATGATTTGGATGAATTCCTCAGAACACACAAACCACAAAAGCTCACTAAAGGAGAAATAGATAACCTGAACAGCCATATAGTGATTTTAAAAACTGAACCTGTAGTTAAAAACTTTTCTACAAAGAAAACTCTAGGCCCATATGACTTTACTAGTGAGTTCTATCAAACATTTATGAAAGAAGCATTATCTATTCTATACAAACTCAGAAAATTAACAGGAAGTAATATTTTCCATCTCATTCTATGAGGACACTATCACACTGATCTCAAAACCAAAGGCGTTACAAAAAAGAATACTACAGACCAATACCATTATGAACATAGATGCAAAAACACTAAACAAAATTTTGGCAAATTAAATTTAACAACATAAAACAAGTGTACTACATCATGGGATAAACACAATGGAAGTGGGTTTAACCAGGAATGCAAGGTTGGTTTAATGTTTGATAATCAATGTTTGATAATCAAGGTAGCTCAGCATATTAACAAGCATATATATATATATATATATATATTCATTATAATAGAGACTTGGAAAACATTTGATAAAAATCCAACACTCATTCCTGATTAAAAATTATCAGCAAGTTAGAAGTAAATATTAATTTCTCCCCCTGACTAAAGGCTACTACAAAAAAAAATCTGCAACCAACATCATACTTAAAGGTGAAAGACTTAACGGTTTCCCTCTAAAATTGTGAGCAAGTAAAGAATGGCTGTTCTTACCATTCTGATTCAAAATTGCACTGGAGGGTTTATCTATTATTCCATTCTCTATGTCTATGTGTACACATTATTTTGCACCCACTTATGAATACGACGTGTGATACAAACTTCCTGTGCCTGGCTTGTTTCACTTAAGATGATGATCTCCAGTTGTATCCATGTTGCTATAAAAAACATGATTTTGGCCAGGCGCGGTGGCTCATGCCTGTAATCCAAGCACTTTGGAGGCCAAGGAGGGCGGATCACCTGAGGTCAGGAGTTCAAGGCCAGCCTGACCAACATGGTGAAACCCTATCTTAAAAAAAATAAAGATAAATAAATTTTTAAAAAGACATGATTTTATTCCTTTTTGTGGCTAAATAATATTCAATGGTGTATATATACCACATTTTATCTACCATTCATCTGTTGATTCCCTATCTTTGCTATTGTAAATAGTATGTTGACCATATTTCAAGTACTTAATTAGTGGCCACATGCAGCAAGTGACTACCATATTGGACAATGTAGCCCTAACTCACTGTATGATCTTGGGGAAGACTCTCAAACTGTCACAACTTCACTGTCTCCGTCTATGAAATGGGGATGGCGGCCGGGCGCGGTGGCTCAAGCCTGTAATCCCAGCACTTTGGGAGGCCGAGGTGGGTGGATCACAAGGTCAAGAGATCGAGACCATCCTGGTCAACATGGTGAAACACTGTCTCTACTAAAAATACGAAAATTAGCTGGGCATGGTGGCGCGCGCCTGTAGTCCCAGCTGCTCGGGAGGCTGAGGCAGGAGAATTGCCTGAACCCAGGAGGCGGAGGTTGCGGTGAGCCGAGATCACGCCATTGCACTCCAGCCTGGGTAACAAGAGCGAAACTCCATCTCAAAAAAAAAAAAAAAAGAAAAGAAAAGAAAAAAAAAGAAATGGGGATGGCAACAATACCTCCCTAAAAGGGTAAAAAGACCGAGTAACTGTGTGTTAAGCACTTTATGCCTCCCCCATCGGTGCTTCCCCCTGGGGCTGGAATGAAGAACCAATCTTAGTGTAGATGACACAGCACAACAAGACCCATATCCTTGGGTCAGAAAAGTTCATGCTGGCATCTCTCCAGGGTCAGAAAAGTACAGCTTCCACCTCTTAACAATCAGCACTGTTTGTCCACTCCTCCTGGGTCAAATAAACTTCTGGGATCAGAGTCCTGGATCCAGCAAAGGTTTTGCTTAACATTGCAAGAAAGATGTGGCTTCATGGTCAAAAGTCAGGCATAGGATGATACAGGCAGACATGGACACATTCACTGTCAAAGTTTGCAAATAGGGACTGACCCTGCCAGAGGCTATGTGGGTACAAGCTCACAGTGAAGATGGAGTGGGACTCTAGCAGACATCAATCAAACTGGACCCAGTTTCTGCACACCTGGAGCTCAAGAGTCTCGACGGGAAAAACATAGGCACAAAATTAGAGAGAGAGAGAGAGCCACAGAAACTTCCTGCATGGTGAAGATAGTCAGAGGCAGGGAAGAAACTCCTCAGCACTAGTTAGAAAGATCAGAAACCAAGAGGCACTGATTGCTGCACCTGCCAGGTCTCAGCTTCTGTCTCCCTCCACCTGACCACCTTTTCCTCTGAGACTTGCCAGTTCTGCAACTCTTGCCCCTCCTTCTGTTTCTCCCGTCACTTCCACCTGTGGCTGTGACAGAAGGGGAAGATGAAGGAGGGAACACTGGACATAAACCCTGAGCATCTTCAGGCTTCCAAAGAGGGAGGCTAGGAGATACACCAACACACCAGCACAAATACGCCAGCACACACAGATACACACAATTGCTTTACATATTGCTAGGTTATGGTTTGCTATGCTACAAAGGCAGTGGGCCAGATTGGATTGAATTGCATGATTCCTTCTTTTGGTCAGTTTCTCCATTTTTTTAGTTTTTATTTATTTATTTGTTTTTTTGAGACGGAGTTCCACTCTGTCGCCCAGGCTGGAGTGCAATGGTGCGATCTCGGCTCTCTGCGACCTCCAACACCTGGGTTTAAGCAATTCTCTTGCCTCAGCCTCCTGAGTAGCTGGGATTACAGACAACCACCAAAACGCCCAGCTAATTTTTTTTTTTTTGTATTTTTAGTAGAGATGGGGTATCTCCATGTTGGCCAGGCTGGTCTCAAACTCCTGACCTCAGGTGATCCACCCGCCTTGGCCTCCCAAAGTGCTGGGATTGCAGTCGTAAGCCGGGCTCTGCCCAATTTTCTTTTTTGAGATGGGGTCTTGGTCTGTCACCAAGGCTGGAGTGCAGTGGCACAATCTCAGCTCATTGCAGCTTTTGCCTCCCAGGTTCAAGTGATTCTTCTGCCTCAGCCTCCTGAGTAGCTAGGATTACAGGTGCCTGCTACCACACCCAGCTAATTTTTGTATTTTTAGTAGAGACAGGGTTTTGCCATGTTGGCCAGGCTGGTCTTGAACTCCTGACCTCAAGCGATCTGCCTGCCTCAGCGTCCCACAGTGCTGGGATTATAGGCATGGGCCACTGCGCCCAGCCAGCCTCTCAATTTTGAACATACACTACCACCACACCCACAACACACAAATGTAAATGCACTTTCATAAATGAAACTGTATACATGCAAGGACATACACAGAAGCACCCCCAGATTCAACCACAGAAACACACACGAGCACATTTGCATAAATACAGACACCCCTTTACATATGAAAATCACAGCAGCACATACATGGATGGAAGCAGGCATGGACAAAGCATGCAAGCATACACAAAGCTAAGTAAAAAAGTGCATGCTCGGGCCGGGCGCGGTGGCTCAAGCCTGTAATCCCAGCACTTTGGGAGGCCAAGGAGGGTGGATCACGAGGTCAAGAGATCGAGACCATCCTGGTCAACATGGTGAAACCCCCATCTCTACTAAAAATTACAAAAAATTAGCTGGGCATGGTGGTGCGTGCCTGTAATTCCAGCTACTCAGGAGGCTGAGGCAGGAAAATTGCCTGAACCCAGGAGGTGGAGGTTGCGGTGAGCCGAGATCGCGCCATTGCACTCCAGCCTGGGTAACAAGAGTGAAACTCCGTCTTAAAAAACAAAAAAAAAAAAGTGCATGCTCACCCATGTTTACAAAAATACACATACACATACCCACACAGCCACATACTTACATGCTCAAGTGGACTTTGGTGTCTCTGCCGCTGTATCCCTGCCAACATCTAGAGTGGGTAAAGGGATAGGGATCAGGTCGTTGGGTTGGGTTGCCCAAGCAGGAAGTCTGGGTTTCTTAACACCTTTTTCTAAGCTAAGCTAATGCCCCTGCACAATGATGAGAAAGGAGGCGGGGAATGGATGAAGTTTCATAACTGGATGAAGAGGCAGGTTCAAGATAAAAGGCCCAGTTGGAGGCTGTAGCAGGGTGCAGGGCAGTCAGACCAGGACCATGGAGCTCACCGTCTTCCTCTTCTTTGCACTCCTCATAGGCCTTTTGCTTCTCCTGGTCCGGCGTCACCCTAAGGCCCATGGCCGCCTCCCACCAGGCCCCCGCCCTCTGCCCCTTTTGGGGAACCTTCTGCAGCTGGAGAGAAGAGGCCTACTCAAATCCTTTCTGAAAGTAAGACACTAATGAATGGGTTCTGAGGGTGGACTGCTTCTTGCCTGGGTACTTGGGGATCCTTCATCAGACAGAGTGAGGCAGCCTTCCAGAGTCAGGGGTGGCACGGGGATGGTTGGTGAGCATGGAGTGGGGTGACGCATGATGGGTGGTATTATCAGGAGAAAAACATCAGTGAAATTAAATTTAGTGGAGTGTATTTGAGCAAAGAAGTGACTCAAGAATTGGACAGCACCCTAAACCAGTACAAAGGGACCACACTGGCCCAATCAGAAACAGAAACTGAGAACCCTGATGGTATTCTCTCCCTTGGACACCATTAACTGTTAACCCTTAGTTGCTGGGTCCTGGGAAGGAGAAAGGGCAGCGTTGGGAGGAGGTGGATGTTGGGGAGGGGCTAATTACCAATCTGCTATGTAAGTGTTTTGATAGTTTTACCACTGAGGGGTATGCTAACAGCAACCGGGGTGTGGATGTGATTGGCAGTTCCGAGAGAAATACGGGGATGTCTTCACGGTACACCTGGGACCGAGGCCCGTGGTCATGCTGTGTGGAGTGGATGCCATACGGGAGGCCCTGGTGGATCAGGCTGAGGTCTTCTCTGGCCGGGGCAAAATCGCCATCGTTGACCCAGTCTTCCAGGGCTACGGTGAGGGCCTCAAAGGTGCTGGGAGAGGGCGGGTGGAGGGTGCATCAGGGAAGGGATGATACAGGGGGAAGAAGGACTCAGGGCCTTCTTCCAACTTCTTCTGCAACCCACACCTCCCCCACACCCCAGGCGTGGTCTTTGCCAATGGGGACCGCTGGAAGGCGCTGCGGCGATTCTCTCTGACCACCATGAGGGACTTTGGGATGGGAAAGCGGAGTGTGGAGGAGCGGATCAAGGAGGAGGCTCAGTGTCTGGTGCAGGAGCTTCGGAAATACAAGGGTGAGTCCTTGGGGATGAATAGGAAAGAAGACGACGAAAAGCTGAGAGATGCAGGTGCATGGGAATAAAGACAGCGAGGTATTCATGGGCAGAGACAGAGACAGATGAAACAGAGGGATAGGGACAGAGAGGGAGAGAGACGGGAATAGAGAGGGACGGGGGCAGGTAGGAGAGAAACACAGAGAGCCAGGGAAAGAGAGAGATGCCAAGTGTATAGTCTCCATGAATAACTCAAAGAGGCTGGATGTGATGGCTCTCGCCTGTAATCTCAGTGCTTTGGGAAGCTAAGAAGGGAGGATTGCTTGAGGCCAAGAGTTGGAAAACAGCCTGGGAAATATAATGAGATCCTGTCTCTATAAAAAATAGAAAAGAAATGAGCCAGGTATGGTGGTGTGAGCCTGTAGTCCCAGCTACTCAGGACGCTAAGGTGGGACTACAGGATCACTTGAGCTGGGTAGTTCGAGGCTGCAGTGAGCTGTGATTGTGCCACTTCAGCCTGGACAACAGAGCAAGATCCTGTCAAAAACAAACAAACAAAACAAAAAACAGACCAGGCGCAGTGTCTCACGCCTGTAATCCTAGCACTTTGGGAGGCCAAGGTGGGCAGATTAGGAGGTCAGGAGTTCGAGACCACACCTGACCAACATTGTGAAACCCCGTCTCTACTAAAAATACAAGAATCGGCTGGGCATGGTGGTACATGCCTGTAATTCCAGCTACTCAGGAGGCTGAGGCAAGAGAATTGCTTGAACCTGGGAAATGGAGGTTGCAGTGAGCTAAGATGGCACCACTCCACTCCAGCCTGGGTGACAGAGTGAGACTCCATCTCAAAAAAGAAAGAGAGAGAGAGAGAGAGAGAGAGAGAGAGAAACAAGAGAGAAAGAAACAAAGGCAAAGAGAAATTGAAGGGGAGAAAATTAGAGAGACAGACAAGGCTCAGGAAAAGGTCTGCAGAGGAATGAGAGAAGACAGAAGTGAGACCCAGAGACAGACGCTGCACCGGCCTGACATTCTTGGCACTCACAGACCACCCTCCCTCCAGCCAGGGCCAGGACTGAGCCTGGTGTACACAGATATCAATTAGCAATCGCAGAATAGTTCCCGGAAGACTGGAGAACCCTAGAAGTGGAGAGAAGAGACAAAGAAAGAAGAATCGCTAGGGGTAGAAAAAGGTTTTTTATTTGTTTTAAATTAGAGATGGGGTCTCTTTTTATTTATTTATTTTTTAAAAATAAAGATGAGGTTTCATCATGATGGCCAGGCTGGTCTTGAACTCCTGACCTCAGGTGATCCACCCACCTCGGCCTCCCAAAGTGCTAGGATTACAGGCGTGAGCCACTGCGTCCGGCCGAGACCGGGTCTCTATTGCCCAGGCTGGCATGCAGCAGCACCATCATAGCTCACTGCAGCCTCAAACTCCTGGGCCCAAGTGATCCTCCCATTTCAGCCTCCTGGACGCCTTCACCGGGACTGCAGGCATGTGACACCATGTCTGGCTATAGTTTAAATTTTCTGTAGAGACAGGGTCTCCTTATGTTACCAACGCTGGTCTTGAATTCCAGATTCTTTTGCCTCAAGCTCCCAGTGTGCTGAGATTAGAGGCATGAGCCACTGTGCCCATTAGGGCCTTTTTATTTTTATTTTTTGGTCTCAGACGGAGTTTCACTCAATTGCCCAGTTGCCCTGGCTGCAGTGCAGTGGCGCCATCTTGGCTCACTGTAACCTCCGCCTCCTGGGTTCAAGCAACTCTCCTGCCTCAGCCTCCCAAGTAGCTGGGATTACAGGCTCCCACCACCACACCTGCCTAATTTTTTGTATTTTTAGTAGAGATGGGGTTTCACCATGTTGGCCAGGCTGGTCTCGAACTCCTGACCTCAGGTGATCCACCCACCTCAGCCTCCCAAAGTGCTGGGATTACAGGTGTGAGCCACTGTGCCCAGCAGGGCTTTTTAATTTGTACAAGCAATTGATTGAACACCTACTCTGCCCAGCCCGTACCCCTGGGACTTAACTGTATTCACTCATAGAGTCAGAGGTGGGGCCTGAGAGGAGGTGCAGAGTGAGAACCAGCTGCACCGACTCTATAGCTGAGTTGCCTGGGTCTAAATCCTGGCCTCAGTAATGAGTAGCTGTGCAACCTCGGCCAAATTACTCAAGCTCTGTCTGCCTGTCTGTACAACGGAGCTAATAACCGAATTGCAGCTGCCTCACAATGTTGTAGTGAGTTCAGTGAAATTGTAAGTGCTGGTACATAATGCATGCTCGTGAGTCTTAGCTGTTACGATTATTCTCACGTTTATCATTACTGAGTGATGGCAGTCACACAGAGACAGGTGATGGCCAGATGTTCCCCAGGCCCTTCAGTCTGTGTCCTTGACCCACTGCTTCTTCCTAGGAGCCCTCGTGGACCCCACCTTCTTCTTCCATTCCATCACCGCCAACATCATCTGCTCCATCGTCTTTGGAAAACGCTTTGAGTACCAAGACAAAGAGTTCCTGAAGCTGCTGCGCTTGTTCTACCAGTCTTTTTCACTTGTCAGCTCTTTATTCAGCCAGGTCAGAGACAGGGAGAGGGAGGGTGGGGGCGAGGTGAACATCCGGGGCACGCGATGAAAGGATGACCTGTCTTGGGGGCCCAAAAATGCAGCTTATAGCTGGAAGAAAGGCACAGACCATGTGGAGAGGCAGGGACATGGAGACCTGGAGGGAGGGGAGATGGTGAGACAGGGATAGAGACACTGACAGAGGGAATGGGGCGTGATAGGGAGGCAGACATGGAGTCAGAGACTGAGAGAAGGAAGTTGAGCAAAAACAAGACAAAGAAGGGCAAAGATAAAGGGACCCCGAGAGACAGAGCTGATGAGAATGAGTGCGAAAGACAGGGAGAGAGGGAGGATACATCAGCCTTTGGGCTTGGTCTCTACTCTGCTCCTGGATGTCGGTTTGTTTGTTTGTTTTGTTTTGTTTTGTTTGAGACGGAGTCTCACTCTCTCATCCAGGCTGAAGGGCAGCAGCGCCATCTCGGGTCACTGCAACCTCCGCCTCCTGGGTTCAAGTGATTCACCTGCCTCAGCCTCCTCAGTAGCTGGGACTGCAGGCATGTGCCACCACACCCACTCGGCTAATTTTTGTATTTTTAGTAGAGAGGGGGTGTGGCCATGTTGACCAGACTGGTCTTGAACTCCTAACCTCAAGTGATCTGCCAGCCCCAGCCTCCCAAAGTGCTGGAATTACAGGCGTGAGCCACTGTGCCCAGCCTGCTCCTGGTTCTTCTGTATCCTTGCTTCTCTGTCTTTGGTAAAGCTCCTCACCTGAAGAAATTCAAGGATACATGACAATAAGGGACAACATGTCTTTGTTTTCTGCCATTTCTCATTCCCCCCCCCCTTTTTTTTTTTTAACTTTCCCTAGATTATAAAGGTAATCTTCTGTTCTTTTAAAACAAAATAATAAAATGTCTCCTTCTGGATTAACCTGGAAATGTACCTGTTACATATTAAGAATCTCAAGCTGCAGAACAACATGCATAGCTGTAGTTCTTCTTTTTTTTTTTTTTTTGAGACAGTATTTTGCTCTGTCACCCAGGCTGGAGTGCAGTGGCGCAATCTCGGCTCAGTGCAACCTCTGCCTCCCAGGGGGATGAGGAGAGGAGGGAAGAGGGATTACAGGCGAGCACCACCATGCCTGGCTAATTTTTTTGTATTTTTAGTAGAGATGGGGTCTCACCATGTCGGCCAGGCTGGTCAACATAGCCACAGTTCTTAAGCAGGGGTGTGTGTGGGATTGCCACAGATACGGATTTTCAGGACCCCACTTTCCGGATGATCTGATCTGGAAAGTCTGGGATGGGGCCCAAGGTGAGTACTTGTAACAAGACTGACCAATAATTCTAATGTTCTCCTCCCCTTGAGAACCACAGAGAAAAGTCTGGAAGGAGACCCACCAGACAGTTAACAATGGTTATCTCTAGAAGGAGAGATTAAGAAGGAATTTGACATCTCACTGTATGTGTTTGCATTTTTGCAATTATTTGCAGTAAATTAGGCATTTCATTCTCCCTCAAAGTAAAAGAGATATGCTCCAAAATACATAGTACTAAAGTGTCAGCAGGCTTATCCTGTGTAAGAATCATTTTCTCAATGTCTGACACAGCAAGGGGGATGAGGAGAGGAGGGAAGAGGGAGAGAGAAGTATGAGAAAGACAGACGGACTGGGCTAGACAGTGAGTGGCACAGAAAGAAAGAGAGACAGAGAAAGGAGAGGGCAGGGAGATGGGAGGCCACAAGAAAGACAGAAGGATGAGGGAGGAAGCTGCAAAGAGGCACATGTGAGAATAACAGATAGAAGGACACAAAGTCGGTGAATGAGGGGGTCAGACAGAGGTGAGCAAGGAAGAGGGGCTCTACAGAGATGCTGGGGTCCAGGAGGGGCCCTCTCCCTGTGACCTGCTAGCTCAGCCGTAGGCAAACCTCACCGCCCATTCTTTCTTGCAGCTGTTCGAGCTCTTCTCTGATTTCCTAAAATACTTTCCTGGGGCGCACAGGCAAATACGTAAAAACCTGCAGGAAATCGGTGCTTTCATTGGCCACAGTGTGGAGAAGCACCGTGAAGCCCTGGACCCCAGTTCCCCCCAGGACCTCATCGACACCTACCTGCTCCACATGGAAAAGGTGGGGTCTGGGAGAGGGAAAAGGGAGGGGAGGAAAGGGGAGGGAGGGCAAGATGGAGAGGTGAGAAGACGGAGAGGAAAGGAGTAGAGAAGGGGAAGAGGGAGAGGGAAGAAGAAAGACTAGGGAGGGGAGAATTGGGAACAGGAGGAGAGGAGACACAGAAGGAAAGAAAGATGAGGTGTAAGAAAAGAGAAAGCAGGGAGGAGAAAGTAAGATGGAGAGAGAAGGAAGGGGGAGAGAGAGAAGACAGGCTAAGGAAGGAACTCAGGGCAAGGGACAGAAATCAGCAACAGGAGAAAAGACTCATAGAGGCAGAAAGAGACGGGGAGCCAAAAAGAAACACATCAAAGAGATGTGGAGAGAGCTAGAAACAGAGTCAGGCAGAGTCAAGAGAGGCTGAGAGATGAGATAGAGGCATGCGGCGGGATGTGTAGAGGACAGAAAAAAGCAAACGCGGCCAGACAGTGTCAGAGATCTTTAGGCAGATGGAGGGCAGCCAGGGAGACTGGCGTGTGCACAGCAAGGTTACAGCCTCCCCTGACCTTCCCCTTCCCTCCCTACTGTTGACGCAGGAGAAATCCAACCCACACAGTGAATTCAACCACCAGAATCTCATCTTCAACACGCTCTCCCTCTTCTTTGCCGGCACCGAGACCACCAGTACCACTCTCCGCTACGGCTTCCTGCTCATGCTCAAATACCCTCATGTGGCAGGTGGGCCAGGAACAGCCAATCGAGGGCATCTTCTGACCCCATTCTGAGCTGTAGAAATGGGGCTATGGGTACCACCTGGATGAGAGAGGGGATGCTGGCTTCCTATTCCGGGAGCACTGCAGGCTCTGGACCAGCTCAGAACCAAGCCAATTCTGTTGGTGGATGCATGCGCGCATGAAGAATGTGTCCATGCGTTCTCTCACTGATTCCTTCCATCACTTAAGGAATTTTTGTTCTAAGATTTTTTTAATTGTATGAATTTAGGAGGTACATATGCAGTTGTGTTACATGCATAGGTTTCATAGTGGTCAAGTTAGGGCGGTTAGGATATTTATCACCCGTGCAACATACATTATTCCCATAAAGTAATTAATTTCTCATCATTCACCCCACCTTCTGCTGCTTCACTCTTCTGAGTCTCCACTCGCCATCATTCTCTCTACGTTCATCTGTACACATTTTGTAGCACTCGCATATGAATGAGAACATGCAATATTTGACTCTTAAAAATGGATTCATTTATCCACGTATCTTTTCATCGATTCATTCTTTAATTCATTAATTCACCTGTATACTCACTGATTCTTTCGTTTACAATTCATCCAAGGGCATATACCGTCATTCGTTTATTTGGATTACTTGATCCACAAGTTGATCCTTCAAAACAGTGACAAATAGATGGACTATTTGTCACTGATTCCTTGACGCATTCATGCATTCATCCATCCTTCTATGAACTAGATTTCACCCTTATCCTTCCATCAGTCAGTCTTTCAGTTCCCCCTTAATCCATCCATGCATTCCTTCATTTATTACAATAATTCACTCACTTGTTCAACTCGGATTCATCATTCAATCCGGCCATTCATGTATTCCTTTATTTAGCCGTACTTCAGGAGTTTATTTATTCACCTGTTCTTCCATGAATCTAGCCACTCATGTGGTTATTCATTAATTGGGTTCATTGATTTCCTTGTCTATGAACCATTCATTAGTAATTAATCAATCCATTTATTAATTGATCAGTAAATATATACATCCATGTATTGGTTTGTTCATTTATTCATCAATCTTTCCACCCATGAATTGATCTGTTGATTGGCTGATTGATGTAATTATCTATCCAGTTGCTTATGGATTCATTCATTATTCTATTACACTATTATGTTCCTGAGGACCATGTATAGTGCCTCACCTAAAACAACACACAGTAAATATTTATTCATTTTCTACTCATCTTAGGGAGTTTTGAGAGGTTTGTAGCCTCGAATTCTCAATCTGAAACTCCATGTAAAATTGTGCTGTGTGTGTGCATCCGCATGTGTGTGCATGTGTGTGTGTGCGCGCATACGTGTGTGCATGCGCGTGTGTGCATGCATGTGTGCCTGCGTGTGTGCGTGCATATGTGTGCATGTGTGTGTGTGTGCATGCGTGTGCACCGGTGCATGTGTGACATGGATCCATAATATTCATCAAATTTCAAGCCATGAGAATTCTCCTTGCTTATTCTCTCCTCCCTTCACCCCATGCTGATTACTTTTCAGGGTATCAAGGATCTAACCCTTTACTATAGGTTTTTCATTGGTCAGTAGAAAGTAGTGTCCCCACTGTAATGTCTCTCTTTTTTTTAAATTTTTCTTTCTTTTTTTTTTAAGACAGAGTCTTGCTCTGTCACCCAGACTGAAGTGCAGTGGCACAATCTTGGCTCACGGCAACCTCTGCCTCCTGGGTTCAAGCGATTCTCCTGCCTCAGCCTCCTGAGTAGCTAGGACTACAGGCGCGCCCTACCACACCTGGCTGCGTTTTTGTATTTTAGTTTTGTATTTTTGTATTTTTAGAGTTGGGGTTTCACCATGTTGACTAGGACGGTCTCAAACTCCTGATCTCAAGCAATCCACTCTCCTCGGTCTCCCAAAGTGCTTGGATTACAGGCATGAGCCACCACACCCGGCCTGAAATCTCTCTTTAAAATGGGGTTCATTTGTCTTCTTTTCTGCGCAGAGAGAGTCTACAAGGAGATTGAACAGGTGATTGGCCCACATCGCCCTCCAGCATTAGATGACCGAGCCAAAATGCCATACACAGATGCAGTCATCCATGAGATCCAGAGAATTGCTGACCTTCTCCCCATGGGTTTGCCCCACATTGTCACACAACACACGAGCTTCCGAGGGTACACCATCCCCAAGGTAAGACTGGCTGGACCCCCACATCTCTCCTGTGTCGGCATTCTGGATTCTCTTAATCCCCAAACTCGACCTTTTGTTGGTTTCTCAACTGAGTCCCTTTGTTTCTGTTTTTTTTTTTTTTTCTTTTCTTTTTTTTTGTGGTGTGTGTGTGGAGGGTGGGCAGGGAATGGGAATATCTTTTGATCTTGTGACCCTCCCTCAGGGCACGGAAGTATTTCCCATCCTGAGCACTGCTCTCAACGACCCACACTACTTTGAAAAACCAGACACCTTCAATCCTGACCACTTTCTGGATACCAATGGGGCACTGAAGAAGAATGAAGCTTTTATCCCCTTCTCCTTAGGTAAGCAGGACCTACAGTTTCTTTCCCAGACACCAGAGGGCAGGTCCTATCCTCAACTTGAGAAAAACAATGATTGGACTTTATTTATTGAGCACTTAATATATTCCGTATCACCTGCCTCACCCCATTCCATCTTCACTACAACCCTGGAAAGGGGCTTGAGAAAGGAGATTACATTTCCAAAGGCACATCTTGGTAAACAGGACCTTGGGCAAGTATTTTAACATCGCTAAACCTCAGTGAATTCACTTTCTACCGAGAACCAGCTCGGTCAGGAGACCCCCATCCAGGCTGGCTGAGGGTATTGAGAGGCAGACACCCAGATAGCACAACAGAGTGGATCTATCTGGGGACCAACATCCTGAGAGCCTGCGGGGCTGGCAGCTCTCCAGACCGAAGGTGCGGAGCAGAGATTCATCCACGCATTTATTTGCTGTTTGACAGGTGATTCTTATTAATACACAGGTGTTCTACATATACACATAACTCAGGCATATACCAGGTAGGCAGCTGTTACTCGCCTGCCACTAATTACAAACTAAAAGTAACCTCCATAAGGGAGCCATGGGGCAGGGTAAACTTAATGTTTCTCAACAATTTTCTTTAAAAAAAAAAAAATCGTTGAGCACCGCCCTAAGCCCAGTGCTCTACTGGGGGCTGAAGATAACACATCAAACAAATCACACAGAGACACAGTTCCTGCTCCAGGAAATTTACAGTCTAGCAGGGACGATGGGCATTCATCAAAAAATAATACAATGATCACCTCGTGGAATGAACGAATGCCTGTAACACACTTAGAACTGCCCAATACAAACAGCGTGCTCACAAGCACAATTACTATTATTATACATAATTGTGATAAGTGCTCTGAAGGGAGCTTGGGAGCACAAAAGAGGAAATACTAGCTGATCTTGTGGTGGGTCAGTAAGAAAAAGCTTCCCAGAAGGACTAGCTTCCAAGATGAGATGTTCGTGGGTCAGTGTCAATCAACCACTGCAAGGAGTGTTCCAGACAAAGGAAACAGCAAGGGCAAAGGGCAAAGGTGGAAACGTGATGGTACAGTTAAGAAACCACAGGGCGTCCGGTGAGCCTTGGCATGGATTGCAGAAGGAAATAAGATAAAGGGCTCAGCTGGAGAGAACCTTCAAGGCTGTGGGAGGAGTTTGGATTTATGCTCTAGCACTGGGAAGGTGGAGAAGGTCTTGATATGCTTTGACTTGGCTGGTTAAGAGAAAAACTTTTGAGGCCGGGCATGGTGGCTCATGCCTGTAATCCCAGCACTTTGGGAGGCCCAGGCGGGTGGATCACAAGGTCAAGAGATCGAGACCATCCTGGCCAACATGGTGAAACCCCCTCTCTACTAAAAATACAAAAATTAGCCAGGTGTGGTGGCATGTGCCTGTGGTTCCAGCTACTTGGGAGGCTGAAGTGGAAGAATTGCTTGAACCCAGAAGGCGGAGGTTGCAGTGAGCCGGGATTGTGCCAGTGCACTCCAGCCTGGCGACAGAGCAAGAATCCATCTCAAAAAAAAAAAAAAAAAAGAACAAGAGAAACAGAGTAAGAGATAGGAAAAAGAGAGAGTGATATAAGAAGAAAGGAAGAAAGAATGAATAAGACAAATAAGGTGTCAGCCGGGCGCGGTGGCTCATGCCTATAATCCCAGCACTTTGGGAGACAGGTGGATCAGGAGGTCAAGAGATCGAGACCATCCTTGTCAACAAAGTGAAACCCCGTCTCTACTGAAAAATACAAAAAATTAGCTGGGCATGGTGGAGCACGCCTGTAGTCCCAGCTACTCAGGAGGCTGAGGCAGGAGAATTGCTTGAACCCAGAAGGCGGAGGTTGCAGTGAGCTGAGATCGCGCCACTGCACTCCAGCCTGGGTAATAAGAGCAAAACTCCGTCTCAAAAACAAACAAACAAAAAGACAAATAAGGTGTCTTTAGAGGGAGATGAAAAGAAAGAGAGAGAGCCAGAGAGACTGGGGAGGAATCAGATTCAAACAGAGATAGGAAGTTAAGCAAGAGGGAAGAAAGTCAAAAAAAAGGAGAGGAGAAGAGAAACTGTGTCTGACAGGTATAGACAGAGACAAAGATAGGGGTAGGGTTGCCAGGGCAGAAAGAAAGGTGTACCCCAAGCCAGAAGGGTACTGCAGCCAAAGAAATTCCAAAAGGTGGCCAGACAGCCCCAGAGATGTGGAGGGCACGATGGGAGGGAGATAAGCATCAGGCCGTTCTGGAAAAAGTTAGGTCACAAAAATTGTGACAGAAGAACCAGCCCAGAGACCCACCTGTTTCTAAGCTCATGTCACCCACCTTCTGTATGTGCCAAAGGAATGTGGACCCTTTTCCAGACACCTTCACGTAGACACACTTGTCCAACAGCTTGACAGGTGTAGGGAATGCCTGAAAACTCACCCTTGACATGGCCTTTCCAAGGTTTGCATATTAAGAAACATTGATTTGCTTAGAACCTACCGGGGGTTCCTTGTACCTCTGAGAATCAGTGGAAGCCATAGACCCTCCCCTCTCATTGCGTTGGTCCCATTCACAGTTTATATACAATTTGGTTTTGTTTTCCCCTGAGATCTTGAAGCCTGTGGATCTCAGGCTGAGACCACAAGACAGCCCAGAGAGACACATACACAGGGACACATGGCCAGAAACACCCCACACATACCCCCAGAAACAAACACAGGCGATAACCAAACCTTAAGGCTCCTTAGTACAAGTCAAGTGCTATTCTAAGAATTTTTACAAATCTCTCCTTTAATCTCACCAGAGCCCTTTGAGAGAGGCACCATTCTCCCCATGTGAGAAGTGAAGAACACTAAAAATGTCATAAATATGCTCACACACACATAGAGGAACACACACACACACACTCACACTCACACACAACCAGAAGTGGGCCATTATACTCTGTGGGGGCTCACCAAGCCCTTTGGAACACTAACAGAAGCTACAAACTCTCTCCTGGAAAAATGAACACGACGCCAGGCATGGCGGCTCACGCCTGTAATCCCAGCACTTTGGGAGACCAAGGCAGGTGTGGATCACCTCAGGTTTGGAGTTCAAGAGCAGCCTGGTCAACATGGTGAAACCCCTTCTCTACTAAAAATACAAGAAATTAGCCAGGCATGGTGGCAGCTTCCTGTAATCCCAGCTACTTAGGAAGCTGAGGCATGAGAATTGTTTGAATCCCCCAGGAGGTAGAGGTTGCAGTGAGCCAAGATTGTGCTATTGTGCTCCAGCCTGGGTGACAGAGAGAGACTCTGTCGAGAGAGAGAGAGAGAGAGAGAGAGAGAGAGAGAGAAATGAACATGGTACATCCACTCAAAGCTTTACACCCAGTTTCAGAGCAGCCTCTGAAAGTCCACCTGAATTGTAGGTTAAAGTCCAGTCTTACATGCAACTCTGTTGCAATGAACGCTGGTGACCTTCTGTGCCCGCAGGGAAGCGCATCTGTCTTGGTGAAGGCATCGCCCGCACCGAATTGTTCCTCTTCTTCACCACCATCCTCCAAAACTTCTCCGTGGCCAGCCCCGTGGCTCCTGAAGACATCGACCTGACACCCCAGGAGAATGGTGTGGGCAAACTACCCCCAGCATACCAGATCCGCTTCCTGCCCCGCTGAAGGGGCTAAGAAGAGGGGGTCAAGAGATTCCGGGTCATCCAGTTGTCCCCACCTCTGTAGACAATGACAATTCCTCCAAAACTTCTGACTGCCCCCTGCAACTTTCTGTTTCTGAGAGGCCTGCTGCAAGCCAACTTCCTTCCCCGCCATGACACCAGTTGTCTAAGGTCACATTGCAAGTGAGTAGAGGAGTGAGACTATTGAATATTATACAAAATTATATATATACATATTGAGACGGAGTCTTCATCTATTGCCCAGGCTGCAGTGCAGTGGGGCTGGCTCACTGCAACCACCGCCCCCTGGGTTTAAGCAATTCTCCTGCCTCAGCCTCCCAAGTAGCTGGGATCACAGGCATCCGCCACCACACCTGGATAAACTTTTTATTTTTAGGTCATCTTGAACTCCTCACCTCGGGTGATCCTCCTAGTTCCAAATGTTTTTATTGTCTCCCCTACAAGACCCAAACCTCTCAAGCTGTCACTCCCCATTCCTCAATCTCCTTTTCATCTCAGCCCCAGCCAATCTGGTTTCTGTCCCTACGGACTCATCGATTCTGAATATTTCCTTTAAACAGAAACGAAGCCTTGCTCTGTCTCCCAGGCTGCAGTGGAGTGGCACGATTTTGGTTCACTGCAACCTTCACCTTCCAGGTTCAAGCAATTCTCCTGCCTCAGCCTCCCAAGTAGCTGGGATTACAGGCATGTGACACCACACCTGATTACCTTTCTTGTATTTTTAGTAGAGACATGTTGGCCAGGCTGGTCTTGAGCTCCTGGGCTCAGGTGATCTGCCTGCCTCCTCCTCCCAAAGTGATGGGATCAGAGGTGTGATATGTGATCTGCGCCTGGTTGCTTTTCCGTGGAACGCTAGTTTTGAGGTTCGTGTCTGCTGTAGACCACAGTCACACACTGCATAGTCCTCCCTCATCCTCATTCTCAGCTGTCTCCCTCTATCAAAAAGCCTCCTTGGCCCAGGTTCCCTGAGCGGTGGGATTCTGCACTGGTGATTTGGATTCCCTGATATGTCCCTTCAAATCCCCTGATAATGAAATAAACATCTCTAAAGCCTGACCTCCCCACATCAAGAGGTGATCTGTGCCATTTTGTGTGTGACCTTTTATTGTCAGTTCCCTGGTGATTTTTCTGGAAGGAATGTCGGTCAGAACGCCTCCCTCACCTCAATGCCAACTCTGCAAAGGGCCAAACCATTGCCTTGCTCATCACTGTATTTAACACAGCATGTGGCATGTGACAGGTTTTCAAAATATTTACTGAGGACTGAATGAATGAATGAATGAGTGGCTAAATCAGCCACCCCCTACCCGCTGCAGCCTACCCAAAATGGAACTAGGCCCCCTTCATCAGACTGTCTCCTCCATATCCCACTTTCTTCTGAGGCCCAGAATAAATTCTTGTCCCCAAAGTGCTCAGGATGCCTCCGATTCTGCCTGTCAGTTACTCTAGACCCCTTGTGCCGCAGCGCCACCTTTTGATAAAGCTCAGCACTATCCTTGCAGTGGAACTGCTCTAAATCCAGCCTCCAGGCTGGGTGCAGTGGCTCATGCCTGTAATCCCAGCACTTTGGGAGGCTGAGGCAGGTGGATCACCTGAGGTCAGGGTTTCAAAACCAACCTGACCAACATGGTGAAACCCTGTCTCAACTAAAAGAAAAATACAAAAATAAGCTGGGTGTGGTAGCATGAACCTGTAGTCCCTGCTACTTGGGAGGCTGAGACAGGAGAATCACTTGAACGCAGGAGGCACAGGTTGTAGTCAGCCAAGATGGTACCACTGCACTCCAGCCTGGATGACACAGTGAGACTCGGTCTCAAAGTAAATAAATAAATCCATCCTCCACACATTCCGCTAGCTGCGGCCACCATCCTTCCCTGAGGGAGGCGCTGCAAGCTTAATATCTTTATCACAAAGATACATCAGCCAGCCTGTGGCCAATGGGAAGCTGGCTCTGGGACTCAGCCCTGAGACGCTAACCTTTTGGCGTCTGCAGCACCTGCCAGCTTTGGGCTCCTTGTAGCCTCTGAAGAGTTAGCAGGGGCTCTGCCAGTGCAAATGCATGGCACACCTTCCCTCACCAACCACAAATAAAACAATGCACAGAGCAACATGTCTTTTAAGAGCGATGGCAGAGGTAAGGTGGGAGGAGTGAGGATCATAGTGCCCTCAGCCTTCTCACTCCTCACCGTCCCCAGTGGTCTCTAGCTACTCTGGGTCTGGGGCCATCCCACCTCCCAGGGCTCCCTCTCTCCTAGGCCCTGGTCTCTGCCCTTCCTGGGGGAGGACTTTGCAAATAAACCACAGGATTTGTTCAAGTCTCTCCAGGTGGTGGGATGGGGGAGGAGGTGGGATGGAAAAAGAGGAGGTGGGATGGAAAAGGAGCTCACAGACAGCCAGGCAGCTGGGGTCCAACTTTGGGTGGGACTCCACAGACCAGCTTGGGAATTCCTTTCTGCCTTTTATATTAACTACAGAAGCTTCTGGAATATTATAAGGTGAAATGGAGAGGAGGCAGACTGGAGGGAGAAAGTCTGATAGGCTTGAGGCTTTGAGTGGTGGTCCTGGGGTGGAGCAAGACCAGAAAAGTGCTGAAGACTGGGGTTTCGGGAGTCTGTGCAATTATTTTCATTTTTAAAAATCTTTGCGGCTACATCGTAGGTATGTATATATCGTACCATGTTTATTGATCTGTGCATGTCAAACCATCCTTGCTTCCCTGGGATAAATTCCACGTGATCATGGTATATTATCTTCCTGATGTGTTGTTAGATTTGATTTGCCAGCATTTCGTTGAGCAGTTTTGCATTTATATTTTTCAGGGAAGTCGACTTGCCATTTGCTTTTTTGATGGTTTCCTTGTCTGGTTTTGGTATCAGGGTAATACTAGCCTCACGGAATGTGTAAATTTCTCTCCTCTTCGATTTTTGTGGCATAGTTTGAGAATAATTGATGTTAGTTCTTCTCTATAAGTTTGGTAGAATTCAGCAGTAAAGTCATCCAGTCCTCGGCTTTTTCCTTGGTGACAGCCTTTTTTTTTTTTTTTTTTTTTTTTTTTTTTTACAAATTCAATTGTGTAACTTTTATTGTTCGGGTCTTCTGTGTCTTCCTGGTTCCATCTTGGCAGGTTGTATATACCTTGGAATTCATCAGTTGCTCTAGGTTTATGTTAGTGTTCATTATAGCATTAATGATTCTTTGTACTGCTCTGATATCGGGGTAATGCCGCCTCTTTCGTATCTATTTTTATTGATTTGGATCTTCTCTCTTTCTCTCTTGGTTAGGCTGGCTTGCAGTTTATTGATTTTGTTTTTTCAGCTTCTTGTTTGGTTGACCCTTTGTAGTTACAAGGTTTAAAGATCACCTCTTATGTCTGCGCTCAAGGATGCAGAAGTGATACTGAGATGCAAGAAGTATTGAGCCTGTCTTCTGACCCCGAAGTGCATTTGAGGTGGCAGAATGAGAGCCCTTCACTGGAGAGGATGTTAGGGAAGGCTGTGCTCCTGAGAGAAAAACCTATTCTGAATAAGAGTCAGAGATCGAGGTAATGTTTAGACCAATGGCTCATTGATTAAGCAAATATTAAGAGAACATCTGCTATGTGCCAGGCACACAGCTGGAGCTAGAGATAAGTCAAAAAAAGCAGTGCAGCCTCTGATCCCACGGAGCTCAACGTTCTGAATGCGTCCTGAAATTTATGTCAAAGAGCACTGTCTCCAGAACATATTTTGAGAAGGGGACATAGATGCAAGAAGGACCTACACAGCATCTTAAATGATTATATTTTTTATTTTATTTTTCTTGAGACGGAGTTTTGCTGTTGTTACCCAGGCTGGAGTGCAATGGCACGATCTTGGCTCACCGCAACCTCCGCCTCCTGGGTTCAAGCAATTCTCCTGCCTCAGCCTCCCGAGTAGCTGGGATTACAGGCACGCGCCACCGTGCCCAGCTAATTTTTGTATGTTTAGTAGAGACGGGGTTTCACCTTGTTGACCAGGATGGTCTCGATCTCTTGACCTCGTGATCCACCCCCCTCGGCCTCCCAAAGTGCTGGGATTATAGGCGTGAGCCACCGCGCCCGGCCTATATTTGTTATTATAGTTAATAATTATTACAATGCTATGTGTCAAGACCTATACTGAATAATCTGCAAGCATTACTTTATTTAGTTTTTCCAAGAGCTCTGTAAGGTAGGTTATATTATTATCTGCAGTTTACAAATGAAGCAACGGAGGTCAGCGATTGGGGCACTGCTGAACCAAGACTGCACTCTAGGCTTCTTTGTTTGCAAGACTACATGTCAACCACTACACCATGTTGTCGCCTACCAGGCAGGGTGTTGGAAATACCAAGGGGAGCAAGAAGAGTCTTCTCCGAGTGAAATCAGTTCACAGAAAGCTTGATAAGCTCACGACACATCCACCTAACTGTAATCCTTAAATAAACTGCACACTCATTCTTTTTTAAGACAGGGTGGCTTCTGGCTTTCTCAAAGAGTTTGGCCTTATTTATTTATTTATGAGACGGAGTCTCGCTCTGTCGCCCTGGCTAGAGTGCAGTGGCATAATCTCAGCTCACTGAAACCTCCGCCTCTGGGTTCAAGCGATTCTCCTGCCTCAGCCCCCTGAGTAGCTGGGATTATAGGCACCTGCCACTATGCCAGGCTAATTTTTATATTTTTAGTAGAGACAGTGTTTCACCACTGTCTCTACTGGTCTCAAACTCCTGACCTCAGGTGATGTGCCCAGCTCGGCTTCCCAAAGTGCTGGGATTACAGGCAGGAGCCACCGTGCCTGGCCACGTTTGGCCTCTTTTTTTGTACTTGGTCTATATTTGAGAATTCCAACAATTCTAACCAGATTTCAAATGAGTCAGCCTCAGTTTTAAGGTAAGTCATAGAGTGAGGACCTTAAAATCTTGAGAAAGTATGCCCCAGTTAGCTGCCACTCCCTGTAATCGAGGGATTAGCAAGGTCAATATTTTATCCCTTCCTGTCTTTACTCCTTTTTCTGCTAAACCCAAGGATGTAGAGAAAAAGATATCGGGCTGACAGAGAAACACTGGAAATACAGTCATGCATTGCATAATGATATTCTGATCAATAATGAACCACATGTACAATGGTGGTCTCTTAAGAGTATAATGGAGCTGAAAAACTCCTACCACCTAGTGAGGCCATGGCTGTTTAACATCATAGTGCAATGCATTACTCACGTATCTGTGGTGCTGTCAACCAAGCTTCCGCATTCCCGGTCACAAAAGTGCAGCACGTACAGTTACGTATGGTACATAATATTTGATGCCGATAATAAATGACTATATTATGCGTTTGTATATTGACTATGCTATAGTTTTTATCATTACTGCAGAGTGTACTCCTTCTACGCTTTTTTTTTTTTTTGAGATGGAGTTGCTATTTCCAGACTGGAGTGCAGTGGCATGATCTCGGCTCACTGCAACCTCTGCCTCCTGGGTGCAAGTGATTCTCCTGCCTCAGCCTCAAGTAGCTGGAACTACAGGTGTGCACCACCATGCCTAGCTAATTTTTTGTATTTTATTAGACATGGGGTTTCACCATGTTGGCCAGGATGGTCTCGATCTCCTGACCTCATGATCCTCCCACCTTGGCCTCCCAAAGTACTGGAATTACAGGTCACTATCCCTGATAAACATAGATGCCAAAATTCACAACAAAATACCAGCAACCTGAGTACAGCAGCACACTGAAAAGTTAATTCATCATGGTCAAGTAGGCTTTATTCCTGGAATGGGGATTGATTCCACATATGCAAATCAAGTGTGATTTGCATAAACAGAATTAAAAAACAGAAACAGAATAAAAAAACAGAACCATGGCTGGGCACGGTGGCTCACGCCTGTAATCCCAGCACTTTGGGAGGCCAAGGCGGGTGGATCACGAGGTCAAAAGATCAAGACCATCCTGGTCAACATGGTGAAACCCCGTCTCTACTAAAAATACAAAAATTAGCTGGGCATGGTAGCGCACGCCTGTAATCCCAGCTACTCAGGAGGCTGAGGCAGGAGAATTGCCTGAACCC